ACAAAAGGCAAAGAGGGAGAGAATACAAATGACACAAATAAGAAACAAAATGGGCGATATCACAATAGAACCAACTGAAATAAAAAGAATAATATCAGGATACTATGAAGAACTGTACTCTAACAAATTTGAAAATCTGGAGGAAATGGACAGATTTCTAGAAACACACTACTTACCTAAACTAACACAGAATGAGGTAGAAAAGTTGAACAGATCCATAACAAAAGAAGAAATTGAATAGATCATAAAAAAATTATCAACAAAAGAAGTCCTGGTCCAGATGGTTTCACTGGAAATTCTGCCAAACATTCACAGAAGGAGGACACCAATCCTACTCAAACTATTTCAAAACAGAAAAGGATGGAATCCTGCCAGATTCATTTTATGAAGCAAGCAAAACCTTGATAGCAAAACCAGGCAAAGACCTCACTAAAAAGGAAAACTACAGACCACTATCCCTCATGAGAACAGATGCAAAGATCTTCAACAAAATCCTAGCCAATGGACACCAACAATATATCAAAAAAATAATTCATTTTGACCAAGTGGAGTTCATTTCAGGTATGTAAGGATGGTGCAACACTAGAAAAACAATCAACATCATCCATCACATAAATAAAACAAAGGAAAAGAACCACAAGATCATATCAATCAATGCAAAAAAAGGCATTTGATAAAATCCAGCACCCATTCCTGATAAAAAAAACTCTCAGCAAAATAGGAATAGAAGGGACATTCCTCAACATAATAAAGGGCATATATGCAAAACCAAGAGCCAACATTATTTTCAATGGAGAGAGACTGAAAACGTTTCCCTAAAGAACAGGAACCAGACAAGGATGCCCTCTATTGCTACTTCTATTCAACTTTGTATTGAAAGTCAACTTTGTATTGGAAGCCAGGGCAATAAGGCAAGAAAAGGAAATCAAAGGCAAATTGGTAAGGAAGAAGTCAAACTACCTCTATTTGCAGATGATATGATCCTATACCTACTCTATCCTCCAGAGGCGCTGTGAGTTGGAACTGACTCAACGGCCATGAGGGGCTGGTATGTGCCCTGTTCTCTAAACTCACTGCTGTCGAGTCAGATCTGACTCACAGCAACCCCTCCTTGGTTTTCTGAGGCGCTATCACTACAGAAGTAGATTGCCCAATCTTCCAAGGAGTGATTAGTGGGCTTGAACCGCCAGCCTTCTGGTTAGCAGTCAAATGCCTTAGGCACTAGGCCACCAGAGTCCTGTTCTAGGTGCTGTTTATTTCCCACAAAACCCTGAAAGGATAAACCTGAAAAGTCAAATATCAAATATAAAACCAATCTAGAGAAAAGTGACCTTTTAACAGATTCTGACGTTCTACATTCTCAGGGCTATAATGCCACGAGTCAAAGTTCACAAAGTACACTTCTGTGTGCAAAAGGGGCTCATGGACCAAATCTGACCCACCACCTGTTTCTGTAAATAGTTATATTGTAACAGCCACGCCCATTCCTTTACATATCGTCTAGGGCTGCTTTCACGCTACAGTGGCAGAGCTGAGTAGTTGCAGTGGAGATTGTACGACACCCAGTATTTACCACCTGGCCCTCTGCAGAAAGAATTTGCCAGTGTTCCCTGTTCTAGACTATTATGAACACAAACAACCTTCAAATCTAACCAAACCACGGCTGTCAAGTCGATGCCAACTCATAGCAACCCTACAGGGCAGGGTAGAACTCCCCCATAGGGTTTCCAAGGCTGCTTACAGAAGCAGACTGCCACATCCTTCTGCAGAGTGGCTGGTGGGTTCAAATCCCTGAATGACAGGTTATCAGTCAAGACCTTAACCTTAACCACCGCATCAGCAGGACTCCTACAAACAATCTTACGGACTTCAAATTCACTTCCAAACTCTGAAGGCTTATTTTACAGTGAGACCTGTGCATAAACCCTGCTCTGTACCATTTTTATGCACTTAGCTGCCTTTGGGTACGTCCCTGGCCCATGGTGACCCCACATATAATTGACTGGTTTGTTTAGCATCCGGCTCTTCACTGAACTACACGGGTCCCCAGGGAGGTGGATCTGCGTTTCCCCCTGGGAGCCCTGGAGCCCAGCTCAGTGCCTGGGTAGCTCCAAGTCCAGGACCCACAGCAGCTTACTCAGAAACCCCTGTTCACGCCCAGGCTGGTTCTGCTGACCCCAGGGCGGCTCCCCAGGTCGGTGTGGAACAAGAACGGGGAAGCGCTATCCACTGCGGGGCTGTGCTGCAGGAGCACCGGGAGGGTCACGTGGCTACCCGGAGGGCAACCTAAGGGACAGCAGCAGCAACATTTCCACCGCCTTTGTGAGGGGAAACAAAAAAGAAGGCAAATTTGACCCATAACTGCTCAATCTGTGGACAACAACACAACACCAGCACAAATGGTTCAGAGCTCAGCTGCTAACCAAAAGGTTGATGGTTCGAACCCAGCCAGCAGCTCCATGCAAGAAAGAGCTAACAATCTGTGCCCGTAAAGATCACAGCCTAGAAAACCCTATAGGGCAATTCTACTCTGTCTCACGGGGTCGCTTCAAGTTGGAACGAGTTGACAGTGCATACCAACAACCACCACAAAGCTTATGTGTTAACCTGCAAATGCCTGGGTCAGCGATCCAGCTTTTAACCAAACGTTTATGCAGCTCCAAAGCAGGGGCTGCAGCATACATGCTCGGAAGTCTCTGGGAGACCAGGTGTCAGAACTACACAGTAAAGAAACATTTTGAAGCTGCAGACAAGCTGAAGCCGGCCGCCGCCTGGACACCGAGCCAGGCCCAGGCTCACCTGGGGAGTGGTGATTATCACAGTGCCATCGATGTGTGCCGCTGAGAGATACTGAACGACCGAGAGGTGCTCGTCGGACGTCCCAGGCGGCGTGTCCACGATGAGGTAGTCGATGTCACCCCAGTCCACATCACGGAGGAACTGCTTGATCATGCCTGGAGAGAGATGCAGAGGGGCTGCTGCCCAGCGGCTGCTGCCTTCGTCCTTCCTCAACTCCCAACTCGTACAGCAGCCACTCGGTACACTGAGCCTACGCTGCAGGTCCGGGGTTCCCAAGCAGGGCAATTCTGCCCCCAGGAGGCACCAGCAGAGTCTGGAGCCATTTCTGGTTGTCATGTCTAGGGGGGATGCTACTAGCACTGATAGGGATGCTGGGAAAAGTCTTATAATGCACACGACAGCTCCCCTCAGAGAATCACCTTGCCCCAAATGCCAACAGTGTGAAAGCTGAGGACCCCGGAGGGTGCTTTGTGAGGCATTAAGGCTCAATACCAAATCAACCCTATCTTGGTTATACGTCACACACTTCCCTCTGACATAAGAAAGCCACTATAAAACCACAGTAATTCCAGGGCTACACAGGTAGGTGCTGAGGAGAGGAAATTTATAATAGGTATTAAAAATTGTAACATGAAAACTGGCATCTGTGTTAGCTCTCCGCAAGCAGTGAAGAAAGGCAACCCAACGCTTGGACTCAGGCACCGTGAAGGTCAGCTGAAGCCCGCTGCATCCTGGCAGCACAGGAGGCAGAGAGCTAGTCACGACCCTGGAGGAACGTGACACAGATGAGCAGCAGAGCAACAAACCGTTTTTCTTTGGTCCCCTCCAGATAACGGCATCATCGGGACTGCTGAGCAAGAAACCCACTGACATCACTCCCAGGTTGTCTTCCACATACTGGAGAAGGGAGAGGAGGGGAGGCAGAGACACAATCACACCACAAGACACACTTAACCAAGCACACAAAGTAAGGACATCCCTAGGCCTTCTGACTGAGCTCTGCCTGAAAAAGCCAGTCAGGAAAAAATTACATGACCTACGAGTACACTCAAATTATTTGGGGGGGGGAAGCAAAGGTTATCATATACAACGAGGGTGAGGAGGATTTGAAGGAGGCACCATGAAGCACTATGCTACAATCACAGTAAACTCAGTTGACATAAATCAATGCCCTTTCCTTAACTGTCTTAACCAGGGGTTGGCAAATCATGGCCCCTGGGGCCAAATCTGGCCCACTGTTTGTTTTCGTAAATAAAGTTTTATTGGAACATAGTCATGGTTATTCTTTTATATATTGTCTACAGCTACTTGTAGGTTGTATTGGCTCATAAGACGAAAATATTTACTATCTGATCGTTTACCAATGTTTGCCAATTCCTGGTCTAAATGGTTTCCCGTGCCTAGAAAAGTGCCTCAATAAACATTAGTTGACTGACAAACAAATGGATTCAGAAAAATGTTGCAAACCCACTACATGTTCATTATATGCATGTCACCCCTGACAAACGACACTGAAAATAAAGCAAAGAGGTAAAACTCACCACCGGAGACCAGCCCGAGCCACTCTGGTGAACCTGCGTGAACAGAAGCACTTATGTTCATTTGTAAGACCCTGTGCCCCAGTCACATTTCATGCATGAGACAAAGTTTACAAAGACAACAACTTCATAAAATACAACTCTCCATTTCATACACTACCCGTCAATTCTTAAATAGGGACTAACGGGGGGAGGGTAATGGAAGATATAATCTGATACCTCCATCTCCCAAGTTGGGTTATTTTGAAACTACCTAGGTAGGTACCTAGTAAGGGAATCAAAGATCCCTGAGTTCAAACACAATCTTGGGTCTGAGATATTTTTAGAGTGTGCTAGCACTCAGCTGGGAGTTGTTGAGAAAATGTAGGAAATTGTGGAGAAGCAAGGTTGCTTTTGAAAAAGTCCACAGGAAAGGGAATTACTCGAAACAGCTGATTCAAAACCTGCTCTGTCACAAATGTACAGAGATCAAAGGGGATTAGTGGTTACCAGGGATGATAGCGGGGAGAAAGGGGAGCCATTGCTTAGAAGCACTGAATCGGTAACTAAACTGGCAATGGATACGGATTATGGTTGCACACCATGTGATTAACGTTACGTAACTGATGTCACTAAACTCCACATGTGACAAATGTTAAACTCTCAAACACTGTGTTCTATATATTTCTACAAAACAAAACAGAAACAAAGCTGCCCTGCCAGTGGCCTGACTGTGCACTGGCCTGCCGCCCACAGGGCTAGCTCAGTGAGAAGCTCACTGCTGTACCTCAACATCCAACTCTGCACATACATAACTTTTTTCCCCAAAGCTACCACTTAAGCAACTTCCAATCACACATCAGTCTTAGAAATTAAATTTTGTTAGAGCAAGTTAGAGGCACCAAAACAGAAAAACTATTTTCTTGATGAACTCCTGCTTTTCTTAAAAACAACCCTGAGATGTAATTCACCCACCAAATAATTCACCAATCTGAAGAGGACAATTCACTCAGCGTAACGTGTTCGTGGCCCGTTGTGTTGAGGCATGGGTCCGGATTTCTTCCACTTTATTACTGGGTCATATCCTACCATGTCATCCGTCATCTGCCTCCCTCATGGGGTGTTTACCAGTCTAGTTTACCACCATGTCCCCAGCACCCAGAGGTGTGCCCAGCACCTAATTAAAGGATGAACCAATCTAGAAGGCCCTACACCACTTCAGCCCCCAAGTCCCAGCTTCAATGCACTGCCCTTGAGCTGCTTCTTGCTGCCCTAAAGGAAGATCCAGCCCTGCCCCACCCCACATCACTCACTGGCCTCAGTCTCAGTTCCCCAGAGGAGACCACAGGGCAGAAACATTCCCTGGCTGCCAGCATACAGACTCCTACAAACCCAGGCCCGGCTTTCTCAGTCGGAGCTCAAGCGCGTCGTCTTACTTCTGCATTTTAGTTATTGTTCCCCTTCCCCTCTAAGAAGGCATCGGAACTAACCCTTCTCAAATGTTTCTGATGAACTTTATACACAAGGCTCCCTGTGCATTCACAGTTGTTGTCAGTAGACAGAGGACCAGTGAACAGACTAGTTAAACGAATCGTTAACCGGTTTCATTGTGCCCACATAAAAACTGACAGGCTCTGCTGACCTCTCTGTTTATGTTTAACAATTTAATGCTATAAATGTTTTCTTAAGAGAATTATTTTCCTGAGTTTTGAAATACAGCTATTACCTGCTCTCCTTCCAATCCCATTATCTTGGGAATCGATGGCCCACATATATCAATGTCCAGAAGAGCAACCTGGGGAACAAGAAGAGATCAGAGTGGTTATGTAACTGCATGTCCTGCACTGCAAATGGGCACAGCTGGGAGGAGAATAGGTTAGAGGAAAAGGGGGGAGGAGAGAAGACAGCAAGAAACCGGGCCAGACTTGGTGCATGCTGATCTCACGAGGGAGAGTCACGGTGGTAACAACACTTATCTTCCAGGTCAACAAGGCAACAGCCCAGCACTCCTAAAAAGAACTCAGCGAAATTCACTGAGACTGACTCCACGGAGCCTCGTCTAGCTCTAAGGTGACCTTATGACCTGGGCATCGGGCCACCTCAAGACTCATGCTCAGCCACGGTTTACTCAGCCCTTACATGTGACAGGCCAGTTAGACATCTTCAGGTTTGGGCTCACATGTTGCCTAGGAGCTGAGAATCATCCTCTTTACTTTATAGAAGAAACTGAGGTTCAGAAAGGCTTAGTGACTTGTTCAGTGAGCAAGAGGCAGAGCTGAGACATAAATCACAACCTCCTGACGCCAAGGTCAGGGCTCTCTGCAAGATCCCCTGGGACCTCGGAGCAAGCCCCATTTCCTGTGGTCCTAAAGGTTAGTTTAGGCTAAACTTTTAAAAAAGAAACTTAACGTAAGAAGCAAATTTTCTACAAAAGCCCTGTACTAGTAACTTAAGTACAGCCCCCATCTCCTCCACCCGCCCTGGACACCCTGCTTTCCCCATGTGACTGATAAACGAGGTGGCCTTGGGAACCCCTTCAGAGCAAGGCTAGTGTTCATCCTGAAAGCTGTAATAGCTCAGATCCAAAGTGCAACACCTCTGGGTAACTTTTTAACTTGCCCCAAATTAGTTTCTTGCTTCCCTCTTCAATCCTCCCAGCAAACCCAACCTCCCACTTCCTCAGCACGCACAATCTCACACCTGTGGTCCGAAAAACTCTGAGCCTCTGCTCAGCAGGTTGCCTCATGCGCCCTCTGCTGGCCAACAGAAGAGCAAACCAGTATGAGACACCATCTGACCACTAACTGGACGTTCCTTTGCCTGCTTGATCTTAATCCTTGTGGTTGATGTGTGTTAATTGTACCCATCACTACACCCCTAACTTCTGTCAATTCTCAGGGAGCCACTCAGTCTCCATGGCCCTTTGGGGAACAATTTAATTAGTCTCCTTTTGGAGAATGACAGTCCCTACCCCCATGGGAGGAATCCTAGGGTGACACAAACGGTTAAACGCTGGACCAGAGACCCAAAGGGTAGGTCAAACTGAAAGAGAGGCCTCAGAAGACAGGCCTGATATGCTTCCAAAATGTCACAGGCTTCAACAGCCTACGGAGCAGAGTTCTACTCTGAGCACATGGGGTCGCCATGACTAACAACACAAGCCAGGGAATCCTGAGTAAAATGGTACACACATACACCTACTGCTATGAAGTCAATTCCAACTAAAAGCAACCCTACAGGGCAGGGTAAAACTGTTTCATAGGGTTTCCAAGGCTGTAATTTCCACAGAAGCAGACTGCCCCATTTTTTTCCCATGGACCAGCTGGTAGGCTCGAACTGCCAACCTTTGGGTTAGCAGGTGAGTGCTTAACCAGTAGGCCATTGGGGCAAGAAAGAGACTTAAGAAATGGATGGAGTACACTCACTTGGGTGGTGGTACTGAAAATGCTTTTGAGAAGCTTCCACTACCCAGATCTTGAGAACCTGAGCAGGCAGTCTACCCTGCCAGTCACCCAGCCAATACAAATCTGAGCCCCAAATGGGAAGAGGTGGCTGGGCAACAGAGCAATGAATCAACAAGTGCACTTGGAACCTGCTCAGCCCAGTACCTTAGACTAGCTTACAAACTCATTATCTATGAAACAGAAACTCATCATTCATTCCTTTGCCTAATGGAATAAAGTAACCATTATGTTACCACGAACTTTTACTGAGCCCTTATTAGGTGTCAGAGTCCCTGGGTAATGCAAATGATTAATGCACTTGGCTGCTAACCACAAGGTCAGTGGTTTGAGTCCACCCAAAACATCAGCCATTGAAACCCCTAGGGGGCAGAGTTCCACTCTGACACACATGGGTCACAATATGTCAGAACCAGTTCAACAGCAATTGGCACATCATGTGCACTCAATCCGACAGATCTCAGTCAGTCCTCGGACCACCACTGCACAGGCGAGAAAGCCAAGGCAGTGACAGCCGGCTGACCTATGCAACATCACAACCCTAGGATGAGTGAAGCTGGGATGTGAACCTGGGCAGGCAGACTTGGGCCTGTGTCTTAGTCACAATGCTATACTGCCCCCGCCCCTGGCCCCAAGTGCAAAACCTGAGTTCTGACACCTCCTTTCCTCCAAAAGGTTGTGAAGCTCTATTTTTTCCACCTGCAGGGCTTGGCCCTCAGCTGTTCCTGGGCCTTTTGTTCCACCCACTGCCTCCTTCCAACCCTCACAGCCATTCATGGACAAGAGAAACATCTGACTGGTTTACCATCACTCTCCAAGGACACTCAGTCCAACGCTGGGCATCACAGCAACACTCCTACTCCTACAGCCACCTTCAAATCATGCCTCTTCTCCACCTAGTGTTCTGACCACAGCAGTCAGAGGGTCCAGTCGGGCCCAGCCTCATCCTTGCTCTCCTTGTTCCAGTGCTCACTACAGACTACCTTCCTCCCAAGTATGCCTGGCAGCCTCCTCTGTCTTTATCTCCTCACCTTCCCTCCAGGTTCCATCGTTCCCATCACATTCCAAGGGCTCTGGCCAGGGGTCCCCCACGAGCCCTATCTCCCCTCTCCAAATTCCTAGAGGACATCTTGAATGGCATATACCATTATATACTATTACAACTGCTGCCATATCCCAATTGCATACATATGATATATACGTATCATAGACATTCCACAGACAAGCCCTCTTTGGCCACCTGATGGGCCAGAGACAGTGGTTCACTGTGACCTTTCTAAGATTAGAATAGAAATAAGTTATAAGGATGAATTCAGAGAATTTGTGAGTGGGACAAATAGAGTGTCACAGATTCCCTGGCCAGCCTGTTCAATGTCCCATAAGGCAAGTGGCCACCCAAGATCCAATTCTCCTCCAAAGATGATCTTTCCCAGCACCACTGCTTCTGGCGCTGTGAACCAGACCAGGGTCAGCAAACTCCGACCCAGGGGCCAGATCGAGTCTGCCCCATTTCTGTATAGTCTGTGAGTTACAAACATTTTTAAATGGCTGAGAAAAAAAAGATAATTCTATTTCATGACACGTGAAAATTATTTGAAATTCAAATTTCAGTGACAATAAAGTTTTGTAAGAACACAGCCATGCTCATTTGTTTTATGTACCGTCTAAGGCTACTTTCACGTTATAAAGGCAGAACCAAGTAGTTACAACTGAGACAATATGGTCCCCAAAGCCCAAAAGATGTATCATCTGGCTCTTTACAGAAAAAACTTGCCGACTCCTGGATCAAACTCTAATTTCTTAATAATTTTTAACAAAGGATTCTTGAAGTTCTTGGACATAATGGCGTGTCACTGAGCCACTGTGGGTATCGACGGCAGGTCAGAGTGGTAGACTTGGTCCCCACTGCCCACTCTAGCTGTTGGGTCTATTTTTCTGTGTTTTATATCGGGCTTTTGAGGAGCATTTCATTCTGAAAAAATAAATGGTGGTATGTGTTCTTTATTTAAAAAAAAAAAAAAGCCACAATATTCATGGCTTTATTAAGTGTAAAATGGTAATCAAAGGAACACCTGGCTCATTTCCTACAGCTGATGCAAAATTACAAGTCCCAAAGAATGACGTCGATTTTTAAGATGACAGGTACACAAATTTCCATCTGACCTTTTCGATAAAAAAGAATTGTTTCTCCCTGTCATCCTACCACACCTTTCTTCAAGCTGAAATCCAGAGCAGCACTGGGTAACTCTGAGACTCCATACTCTTGTGTATTTGGGTAGAAGACAGCCTCCTAGGGTTCAAGTCTATGAACTTTTTCTTTGAGATTTCAAATAAAAAATATTTTAGGCTTTGCAGGCCAAGAGGTAAAATCACGGATAATAAGTAGGTACTTAGAGGCCAGTTTCAAAGTCACCTTTTAAAATGTAAACACCAACTTTATCTCATAAAGACAAAAGGGGGCTGGATCAGGCCCACTATAGGTTGCTGACCCCTGGCTTAGAGAGAGGAGAGAAGGGTTAATGAAGAAGAGAAAGCAGTCTGAACTTGCTGCAATAAAAAAGATGTACAATGTTACTTAATTTTTCCCTGCTATGGAACCCAATGAAATACTTTAATCTTACTGCTAGGTGTTCCCTAGGTGACCCTGGATGGTGCAAACGTAATACGCTCAGCTGCTAACCCAGACACTGGTGGTTCAAGGCCACGCAAAGGTGCCTCAGGAGAAAGTCTTGGTGATCTACTAATGAAAATTCAGCCACTGAAAACCCCGTGGAGTCCAGTTCTATTGTGACACACGCTGGGCTGCCCCCACTCAATAGCAACTGGTTAGGTGCAGGGGTCTAGATTTAAAAGAGGTCAGTTCAACTTAATCTACGGTATCAGCTACCAAAAGCCATGAACCCTCAGACAGAAAGAGCATCTCCCTGTTTTCCCCAAGGTCCCACCTGTGTGTTTTCATCCTCTGCTAGGCCATGGGCAAGGTGGGCACTGAACGTGCTTTTCCCAACGCCGCCTTTCCCAGAAAGCACCAAGATTTTGTGCTTCACCGTTTTCATTTTCTCTTTGATTTCCTCTATAGCTGCAAAGAAAGCAGTGTAAGTGATTAAGTCCCTGAGTAAATATCAAATGTCACTCTTATAACAGGTGAGAAGGAGCCAAGTCCTTGGGGCTATGTGACATATCGCTTAATGAATGGTATTTAGTGCTGTAAAGATACTGGCAATGTTCTTATTTATGTCTGTCTATCCTTAGTAGAGGAACTCTGGTAGTGTAGTGCCTAAGGCACTTGACGTCTAACCAGAAGGCTGGTGGTTCAAACCCACCAGCCACTCCTCGGAGAGCAGACTGGGCAATCTACTTCCGTAGTGATACCACCTCGGAAACCCAAGGAGGGGTTGCTATGAATTGAGTCCAACCTGACGGCACATAACAACATCCTTACTAGGCGAGCTCTGGTGGCATAGTACCTAAGGCACCTGACTGCTAACCAGAAGGCTGGTGGTTCAAACCCACCAGCCGCTCCTCAGAAGGAAGGTTGGGCCATCTACTTCCGTAGTGATACTGCCTCAGAAACCCAAGGAGGGGTCGCTATGAGTCAGATGCGACTCGACGGCAGTGAGTTTGGCTTTTGGTATCCCTACTAGAATATAAGCTCCAGGAGGGTAGGGACTCTGTCTGAAGTGGAACTCTGTAACCCCTGCTCCAGAACAGAACTTCACATGATGATTCTCAACCTGGGACCAAATTCCACATTTGGCCATGTCTGAAGACATTTCTGGTTGACGGGTGTCCTGTGCATTGTAGGATGTCCAGCAGCATCCTTGGCCTCATGGGTAAAGGCCAAGAATTATCCAGCCCAAATGTCAACAGTGCTGAGGATGAGAGCCCTGACAAGCAGCAGGCATCTAACACATTATCTGTCACCGATGAGCTCTGGTGGCACAGTGCCTAAGGCATCTGACTGCTAACCAGAAGGTTGGTGGTTGAAGGAAGACGGGGTGATCTACTTCCGTACAGATTTACCTCCTCGGAAACCCAAAGGGGGTCACTATGAGTCAGAATCGACTCCCTGGCAGCGGGTTTGGTGGATTTGGTTATTGTCCTTTAGATATCTTCAGATCCTTACAAAAACACTGTGAGGCCCTATTGTTCTCCCCATTTTTCCCATTTTCAATAAGGAAACAGCCTCAGAAAGGTATGGTCACAGTGCTTGTCACTGGGCCAAGAATCAAGCCCAAGGCTCTCTTTGAATGCCTTAAAATTCTCCCAGTCTTCCATTTTGCAAGCTCCTATCTAAGAAGTGGGTCCTGATGGCTCAGTGGTTTGAAGCCTTGGCTGCTAATTGAAAGGTCAGTGGTTTGAACCCACCAGCTGTTCCAAACCCACCAGCTGTTCCACAGGAAAAAATGTGGCAATCTGCTTCTGTAAAGATTATAGCTTTGGAAACCCTACGGGGCAGTTCTATAGGGTTCTATAGGATCTTATAGGGTCGCTATGAGTCAGAATTGACTCAAGGGCAGCAGGTTTGGGGTTCTGGTTATCTTGGAAAGTCCCCAGAGTCCTCTCCACCCCTAAGTTTTTCCTTGGAAGTTATTTATCACTGTAATGTTTGTACATTACCTGTCTCCTCTATTAACCTAAGCTCCACCAGGGCAGCGGGCTCACCCACTTGACTCACCTCTGTATTCCCGGCAGAATACTGTTTAATAAGTGATTAACACACCTGTCTACTGAATGAATGAATGAATACTTCCTCACAAGGAAGAAAATTTTGTACTACAAAGTGGCTGTGGGAGCCACGACTCTAGCCTGGGGGCTCCCGTCTTGGAAGATTATCTATCTCCCAGGTTCCCTCTGCTGACGCGACCAAAGTCGCTACCCCAAATCTCTGCCACGCCCCTTCTACTCCCATGGGCCCAGCTGCTCACTTTCGTCAACTTTTTCCCACGCCTCTCCTCCTCTGGGCCCTGCTCCCCTTAACACGCGCCTAAACGCTACGGCTGTCATTCATCCTTCAGGACCCGCCCCCTATCACCGCCCATTTTCCTTGTGCGACCCGCCTCTTCCGGGCCCGTGCCTTTCACTTCCTATTGAGGCCTTGCCCTTTCCTCACCCGGGTCGGGAGCGGCGCCGGCTCCAGAAGCGCACAGCCGCTGGTTGGGGCACCCGTGACATGAGGCCCCTCGGCCCGCTTGGGCGCTGCCGGTCCCGGGACAGTCTGCGCGGACACAAGAATATAGTTAGAGTAGCTCCCTTCCCCTTCACACCCAGTACCCCTGTCGCCTCCGCGCGCTCACCCTGAGGAACCTCCTCCATCCCGCTACCTTTGACGCTGACGCGGTCACCGGAAACTGCAGGCCTATATTTCCGTTCTGCGACACCCTATCTGACTCTTCACCTGCACAAAATAAGTCTCGGAAATAGAGGGCTGTGCGCACGCGCAAAATTTGTGTGGGGAGGGCGGGGCTCTTTCTGGTTCCCTTGAAACTGAGCTGCGGATGTTTATAGATGTCGAAATACTTCAACACCTATCGCCTAGGAACAGAGGCGTTGTCCTACCTAACCTCAGTGCTATTTCATACCCAAGAAATTGAACATTAATACAATACAGCTTGCATTCAGACAGTTTATATTTAACTATATTTACATTAAACATACGATTTATATTCAAAGTTACCCAGTAGTGCCAAATAAGACAAACACACCCCGTCCTGGATGCACTCAAGGATTATACATTTCCTTTTGTTATGTCTCTTCTTAATTGCCCACTCGTAGCAACCATATGCACAACACAATGAAGCGCTCCCCGGTCCTATTCCAATTTCACAATCGTTGGGCTTGAGCCATTGTTGCAGCCGCTGTGTTAATCCATCTCGTTAAAGGTGGTCCCGTTATCGCTGACTCTGCTTTACCAAGCATCATATCCATCTCCAGGGACTGACCCCTTCTGACAACATAACCAAAGTGTGAGAGGAGCTCTGACCATTTTCGCTTGTAAAAAGCATTTCCTCATACTTCTGCTAAGAGGGATCTGTTCTTCCTTCCAGCAGTCCATAGTATTTTCGATATTCTTCATCAACCAGAAAATTCAAGCCCTTAGTCATTGTCCAGCTTTCACATGCGTATCAGGCTATTGAAAACACCATGGCTTGGGGCAGGCACTCTGGTGGCATAGTGCCTAAGGCATTTGACTGCTAACCAGAAAGAAGGTTGACAGGTTTGAACCACCAGCCACTCCTCAGAAGGAAGGCTGGTCAATCTACTTCCCTAGTGAGTTTGTTTTTCTGGTTTTGGGTCAGACGCACCTTAGTCTTATCTTTTAACACTTTAAAGAGGTCTTTTGCGGCAGATTTGCCCAGTGTAATATGTACTCTGATTTCTTAACAGCTGCTGCTTCCATGGGTGTTGATTGTGGATCCAAGAAAATTAAATCCTTGACAATTTCTCTATTTTCTCCTTTTATCATGATGTTGCTGTTTGGTCAAGATTTTCATCAGCAGTAAATGCTTCAAGTCGTCTTCCCTTCCAGCAAGCAAGGTTATGCCATCTGCATATCGCAAGTTGTTAATGGGTCTTCCTCCTGATGCCACATTCTTCTTCATATAGTCCAGCTTCTTGGATTATTTGCTCAGTATGGAGACTGAATAAGACACACCTTTCCTGATTTTAAAAATTCAGTCTCCCCGTGTTCTGTTTGAACGATTGCCTCTTGGTCTATGCACAATGAAATGTTCTGGGATTTCCATTCTTCACAATGTTTCCGTAATTTGTTATGAGCCAGAGTCAAACACTTTTGCATAGTCAATAAAACACAGGTAAACATCTTTCTGGTATTCTCTCCTTTCAGCCAAGATCCTTCTGACATCAGCAATGATATCCCTCATTCCGTGTCCAATTCTGAATGCAGCTTAAATTTCTGGCAGTTTCTTGTCAATGTACTGCTGCAACCATTTTTGAATTATTTTCTGCAAAATTTTACTTAAGAGTGATATTAATAATATTGTTTGATAATTTTCACATGGGAGCTCTGGTAGCATAGTGGCTAAGACACTTGCCTGCTAACCAGACAGCTGGCGGTTCAAACCCACCAGTCACTCCTCGAAAGGAAGGTTGGGCAATCCTACTTCCATAGTGATACTGCCT